TAAAGAAATGATCTTAGGGGTAGTATAGTATTTACATTGATTAAATCTACAATATGTTTTATATCTGGTATGTATGCATTGCAGCAGGGGTATGTATGCATTGCAACAGCAGGCACACAACGGTATGTATGCATTGTAACTTGTTTTAGCTCTCAATTGGACAGATCTAATAAATACAGGAATTAAGTCAATTAAAACTGTAAATCCTAATAGCCATCTATACAACTAATTGTAAATCCTTCAGAGGTCAACTAATTGGACAGATCAACTGCATTGTTAATTTACTAGGTGCATTCTCTACTGTATCCATATACATAGATATTCACAAATGCTACAAATATAAAATTTAAAAAGAAGAAGCATATTTTTAGATCAAAATTATCTAAAAGAAACATTAGATTTAGCCAAAAACGAAACTTTAGCAGACGATATAAGGTGCAAACAACCTTCAGGAAGATCTGGTAAAAATTTAAATCACATAAATATAACATTTAGCTGAATACATAAAGATAACATTTAGCTTACTAATTAAGTAAGTAGTACTAAACAAACCAGATCAACTCTCCTTGCCTACTCTTCTACCATTCCCTGAATTTGTAACTAATAAAAACCACTCAATTGATTATACAGACAGATTGGGGTGCACCAGCCACATATGTAAGCCCTTTTCAAACACAAGTGTGTTAAACACCTGGTGGGAACATGAGAACGCATAATAGTAAAGAACATAAAATAGATTGAAGCTTGAAAATTGAAGCTTGAAAAATAGTGAAGAACACAAAACAGATTGATCTGCAACAGTTGGGTGTTTAAGTAGGAATGATAGCAGCAGGCAGGGAACTTGAAACCTGTTACCTGGTCATAAAATTGCTTTTACTTGAAATGTAGCAACCCATGAAGGGAACTTGAAGCCTGTTACCTGGTCAAAAAATATATCTTTTGTTACATCACAAAAGCAAGCAACAAGAGAAAATATATGTTAAGCAAAAGCAAGGTACAAAAAAAAGAGCTTTCAAGTTTGAAACCCATTGAGAATCGATACATAAACCTTTAAGAGCAGAACCTATGGTACAAAAACATGAGCTTTCAGGGTTGAAAACCATTGAGAATTGATACATAAGCCATTAGGGTCGAAACCCACTCTGAACAAATTAAACCACAAGCAAGAGATCGATACCTTGAAAACAGAAACCATTACAGTTACCTTGAGTAGAGAATGAACCACCGAGATCGATTGAAGGGGTCCCTAAAGCTATTGAATCGGTAAAAAGAGAAGGGTTACAGAAACAATTAGGTTGAAGCCCAACAGAAATTTCACCTTCAAGCCATAAACAATGGAAGGAAAATTAGTTGAAAGAGAGGCTCATATATGCAAATCTAGAATCCGACAAATGGGATCAGACACTGCCATGGCTGCAACCCGTTGCCCCGCCAATATACGGGCCGAATTTTACCCAGTGCTCGGAAACCTATGCTCGGAAATGCTAAATGCAGAAGAATTTCATCACAGCCTTGATGTTTATTTGGGAACAGTGGTGACGACCTCTGATATATCTCCGGATCGGAAAATAAAACCTACCGGATCAAACGGAAACCATACCAAAAGCATCATGTTCATAAATAAGAACTTTTACAAAGAAAAGGCATAAGTTGTTATAAATAAGCAATCCAAACATAAGCAATCACAAACACCCCCTATAAATATATATATATATATATATATATATAGAGAGAGAGAGAGAGAGAGAGATAGAGAGAAAGACCAGAGATCTCGATTCACATCTTGCTTTCTTCTATTTCTGGTTATGTGCTTCAAAGGGATTTTGATTGTTCACCATATTAGTGAATAACGGATAGAGAGAGGAATGTTAAGAGACAATATTTCACCAACTTGCATTTCTTTTATTTACTTTGCGTTACCTCATGATATGTTTGTGGAGAATCAACTACCATTCTCTTCACTTGAAGATAACCAACATAGCATGATGATGTGATACGAATAAGCAATTCATAAGTTCAGTTATAATCAGATTCCACCTTATCATTAAAAAGGTCCTGGATAACATAGGGTGTCTGCCCCATTGTCCTATGTAACATAACAGGTATGGCAATTGGGTGTTTACCTTCCAAAGCATAAAAATCAAAGAATAAGATCAAAATGGGCCAGAGTCTAGCATACCATAAGGCAAGGTCTAAACATTTGTTGATAGAAGGCAATTAAAGAGGACAGTTGGTAAAAATTGAAACCCAATTAACATTAAAA